CTTTTATATATATATATAAGATATTCTCTAATTCTAAAATTAATCTTCAAGCTTTATCGTCCTTTTATTTCCCTCGATTAACCATTGTTTAGGAATTTCAATCCATTCTTACTCATTTAGCACATCTTAACTGCGCAATACGTTTTTTTAGCTATCAGGATATGCTGGAATATATGGTAATGAATGTATCAATAGACTTGGCAAGACTGCTTGTCTTTGATTCTTTGTTGATCTTTTTCAAACCATAAATTTAACATAAATCCGCAATAGGTTGATTCAACACTTGTATTTCAACTGAGCTTTCTATTATAATGGACGTGTCAAGTTTCAGATTTTAGCTTCTACCCCGTCATACACTTTTTGCATCCCTAATAAACGTCTTGATGTTATATTCACTCATCTTTATCTTGGCATCTGCTGTTTGAATATTACCTTGTAAAGAATGGATGTTATTGACTCTCCCTCATGTTGGTTATGCAGTACAGCTACTGCAACTAGTTACCATGCATGTTCTCTTTGAACGCCCTCACCATTCTACTTCGCGTCTTAAATTGTCTCAATCTTTAGCAATGTATAGCACTTCCTTCACCCTGAGAGCTTATCACCATGTCTTGTGTTTCCTATAGTCTCTTCACTGTCTCAGTTTTTAAAGAAGGTTTTTGATTGACTCATTATAATATTTATTATTTTTTTAGCCTTCTAATTCTCTAATGTATTGAACTCTCTTAGTTAATTCTATCATAACATCCACTACATTTAACTCAAACCAAGTTAAAGTATTTGGTACAAATAGGTCTATTGACCTGATAAACATCAACGTTTGACCTAACCAAACAACAATTTATCATAGATGGTGAATGGTAGGATGCTGCTGACTTGCTGCATTCTCTCTGATCAGTAGTTAAAAATTAGGGACGACGGTAGATAGCTTAAGTAGTTTTACTATAAATACAAAAACTTTTACAGTGGATAAAACATTCTTTTAGCACAGAATCTCTACCTCAATTAGAAATGCCTCGATGGAAGGGATGTAATGTAAAAAAAATTGGGAAGTATGCAATTTTGATAAAACTTATAAATAATGTAGTACATACATTGAGATATAACGACTACATTTTACAGTTTCCATAGTGGACAGAGTTATGAATGGCCACATCATTAGTTAACGACAGTATTTCTTGTTGTGTAACAGAAGGGTCCTCTATATATGCCCGTTGTTAGCTTTGTTTTTCAGCAGGTTTGTTCCAAGCACCCCTGACCGTGACTGGACTTTCGATATTCTTCGGCATGTCATCATCATTCACTATTATACTGTCGATTACTTGCATGTTCAAAGTTCCGAGATTTTCGAATATGATTAGTGCAGCCCCTATGGATGACATTATGATGGGTTTTTTCAGTTCTTGTTGAAGTAAATCCATCTATATATTATTATGCCTAGAGATGCAGTGGCGTGATTCGATGCTAACAGTGACAGTAATGATAGTTGTAGTAGTCTCCCACTGGATCAGAAGATCAAGAACAAGGTCTTAAACGTCAAATAAACAATAAAGAAAGGGATTATAATTTGATTTTATAATCGAAAAGAGATAATCCATTATTGTGTATGACCGTTGTTAGTAAAGTGATGCGGCCACTCAGAAACCCCATGTATCTTTGACTGCTCATAACTCCCGTCTAAAATTTATTACTATCATATGAATTGCGTATTTGGATATAGCGGATTCCGAACTTTCCAACAATGTATGCAACACTTCCAAAAAACAACTTTCGGAACTTTTTGTTCCTGGCGCTGATACCCGAACACGCTACTTCATCTATGGTTGATGGAGAGATCTTGCGTTAAATATATACTGTTTTGTATTGTGTTCAACAACATAACACTAGATGGAGCTGTATTTTCTAATGTTACTTACCGTTAACTACGGGGCTAACGCGAGGAAGACGTGGCAGAAATTTCAATAGTATTAGTGATCGCTTTAAAAATTCTTTGCAGATTACTGTTATATTACAAATATCGTGCAACTCTGTAAAGTATTTCTGTTTGAATAGATAATAAAATTTGTCATGGGGCTTACTCTTTCAAGTATACTGAATCGCTTGATCGGAAAAAGACAAGTTAGAATATTAATGGGTGAGTAATGTATGAAACTGAAAGTGAAATTATTATTATGCAATTTCTGAGACCAGTTAGGCTTAAATGTGGTGTAAATAAAGAACGAAGTTAAATTAAGGTATTTATTATTATTATATATGTACTGAAAGCCTAGTTGTTATTTATGATTACCAAACGATATAGTTAGAGGAATCTATCTAAACTCAGTATTATTATTATTAAGTACAAAATACGAAGTTTACAACTTTTAAAATTATATTACAAATAATAATTTATTTGATGAATAATCTGAAACTTGCATGATTCATAAAAATAAAATGGAGGACCCAGGAGAATATGGAAGTAAAGAAACTAGAAGTAGAAAGGATAAATGCCATAAGTTTCAAGTTTAAATTGATAAATAGGATTGAAGGCTTGCATAACTTTAAAAAACCGAAGTTTGGTTAAAAAGGAATTAGGAAATCAATAAAAGGACGTATGAGAACTAGCTGGCAATGTTAAAACAGGAAGAATATTTTAAAGTATGTTAAAGGTTACTGATGGCAAGATTTTTGTTGTGAAGACTATAAGATGACTGGGCTTTTTAATGATCTGTTTTTACAAGAGAGAGAATACTATCATATTAGGATCTTCTATGGGAAATATTAAGATCAAACTGAATTATGTGAATATTAATCCTAAGTTATAGAAAGAAAGATAAAGCACCAGGAACAAACTGTGTTTACCCATGGTTTTGAAGGTCAAGATCAAATATGTAAACCCCCTGTATTTCATTTTTGGTAGGTCGTTAGGTAGTGGGCAGATGCATAAGATTGGAGAATTTAATGCTAAAGTAATTCCTATTTTTAAGGGGGGAAGGAGGTGATAAAAATTGCTTTTGATGTTATAACCAGTTTCTGTTATTTCTTTTGTGGGAAAAATTCTAGAAAGTGACAAAAGAAACCTTGTAAAAGCATCTAGTGAAATTTATATCATAAAAGAAAATCAAGTAAAGAGAAATCTTCCCTCTCTTATATGTTAACTTTTTTCAAGGATGTTGCATGTTAGTGTTACTTGAATGATGGAAAGGGTGTGGGTATAGTGGGTCAACTGGGAGAACAAAATGTTCAAGCAATAGAACAGTTTTAGGAATAGGCACAAAAATATTGGTAGTCATGTTACATGTTTTTTTAAAGTTGGTGTTGTATTTGCACTGCTGTGCACTTTTGACATTACACTTCTGCTTGACACTGTGTTTGATTAGTCACCCATCCATGAAAGATGTGCTCTGTTGCTAATGGTAAAGGTCATAGAATTTTAGGATATATAGACCTGTCGATAACAAATCCAAAAAGAAATTTTCTATACAAATCATTTGTTAGGCCTCACTTGAAATATTGTGTATTGTTTTGGTCTCTGTATGTAAGAAATGGTATTGACTTACTAGAATTGATTGAAAGAAGGGCTACTAGAATTATCTGTGTTTAGAAGTGTAATTTTATGGGTATAGGTTGAAATTTCTTATTTTCTCTTGAGAAAATAAGAGTAAGATGTGATCTTGTTGAAGTTTACATGATTATCTGAAAGTATTGATAGTTTAAAAGCCTTAGGTTTCTTTGTGCTGTAACGTGAAAACAGTGCGATAAGAGAATACAGTTTTAAGATTTAGAAAAAATAGGTTAGATTCCTTTTAAGACCACCTTATTATTCTAACAGGGTGATTATCTAATATAATAAATGGGTTGCCATGATAGGTAGTGGGAGCTGGCACCATAAGAAAGCTCAAGAGGGAATAAATGAATTTTTAAAATATAAAAGGTTGTATTAAAATTTTTGTTTATTTTCCTTGTGTGCATTTAATGTAGAATGGCAACCTGAAAGGACTAAATAGTAGTCTGTTGTTCTCTGTACATTATGTTATTCTAGTTTATGTATTCAACTTTTTCATTTAGTCTTCAGCCATGCATTAGGATTTTATTTAAACCCTAAAAAAATTCAAGTATCTGAATTAATCCTTCCTAATTCTAAGCTCCAGCAAAGAAAAGCTCAAATCTCGAAGACTTTAAAAGTGAAGTTTTTATGAATTAGGCATTATTACACATTCTCTGCTCTCCTTCTACTAGTTCTAGCATGCTAATATATTTCCTTTAGTAAATGGACCAAAACTGCATACATTATTCTAAATATGGTCTCGCCAGATCTTTAATCAAGATCTACAAAAATACAACTTTTAATTCTTTCAAAACTTTTTTAAATATGCCACAGAACTGTATTAGCTCATGTTATCATAACTAGCTCTCAAATAAATTCTTTATTAGTAGCCAAATAGTCTTTTTCATTAATACTAGTGTCTTTTTCATGTAAAAATAAGTTTTGTTTTAAATTAAGATTTCATACTAGCAGTGCATTATGGTTTTTCAACATTAGGACTATCCAGGTTTTTGAATGTAAGAGAAATGCAATCAAAATCATCAACCCTTTCTGGGAACTTAATGTTTTCAGTAAATTTATAAATTTTACTATCTAAAGAATTATACAAACCTTTGGCATAAACATTAAACAATAAAAGTACTAAAAGTGACTATTAAGGCTGGGTAACTTATTGATTAATCAATATAATCAATTATCTATGATCATTGATCACATCAATTAGTGTCAGGTAAAATAATCAAAATTATTATTAAATACGTTAATGTCATGAAAATAATCAATTAGTTGAACTAGTGTTTCTGATTCCAACTAACCAAGTAATCGAAACATCGCCATCATGATTTCTCACTATTATTTTCAGTTAATTCAAGGTTTTCAACTTTATCAATTAGTGTCATGACTCAGAAAAACAAACAACAAATTGAAATTAATATTTCCAAGTATTACCATTTTTGATTATTCCAACTATTATTGCCTATTGAGCATAATCAATTAATGAGCCAGATGATTAATTGATTAGCTAATTCTACTAATTGCCAAGCTTTAACCTCTATGGACCTAATTTGTCATATTCATCCAATCAGAAAATTGTCAATTTATCACCTACTGTTTGCTTTTTATACCAAAACAATTTCAGTCCACTTCTTAACATTCCACCAGTTTGACAAAAATCATCTGTTTAATATTTTAGCTACCATATTTGTGAAAATGTGGATATAAACTATCATTAAGAAAAGTGAAAGTATTTTAAATTGTTTTTATGCTATTCCTTGTTTTGTTTACTATATTTGAAAACTTTATGTATTTTTTTAATGTGATACTTGCTGTGGCATATGAAATATATTAATGTACATAATACACAAAAATGTTTCTTGCAGCTCACATTTAAATTGTTACCTTTTTATTTCTTGGAATTTCTGTGATATGGCCAGACTTGCAATCTGCGGGTTGCAGGTTCAGATCCCTGTCCCATCAAACATGTTTGCCCTTTCATCTATGGGGGCATTATAATATGATGGGCAATCCCACCATTTATTGATAAAGGAGTAGCCCAAGAGTTGGCGGTGGGTGATGATGACTAGCTGCCTTCCGTCTAGTCTTACACTGCTAAGTTAGAGACAGCTAGCACATATAGCCCTTGTGTGGCTTTGTGTGAAATTCAAAACAAACAAACAAATTTCTGTGATTCTCTAAATTGTTTTATAATTGCCGATATATCAGACAAAAATAGCATAAACAACTTTACATGTTTCAAACTAAGTATCACTATGCTTTCATGCTAAATGATATTAACCTTTTACCGACTAACCTAAGAAGAAAATTGAATTTATTTTTACATTACTTTAGGAAAGTTAACTTATTAACTCTGGATACATTTTGTAGTCTCAAAAGAAATTCAAGTTTTTTTCTTTTTTTGAAGTTACATAGATATTTCCATATGGAAACACTTTATGTCAAATAATGTAATACAATAATTAACCCTTTCTAAATTTAGATTATTTCATAATGAAGGCATGAAATAATCTCTCATAAATGTTTTTCACTAGAGAATGTAACTTACAAATGTTTTATTTGGATAACTTTTAATATTGAATTTTATATGGTGAACAGTATAAAACGTACAAACTTTCAAAACAACCAGAACGTGATCTTAAACTGACCAAAACTGATTTTTAGGTTTCCTGACACTACTGCATTTTATAAAGCAAGTTTTATTTTACCCTTAAAGTTTACAGTGCTCCCATATTGGAGTAGGAGGTAGTAAAAGGTTAAAACATCAGTGCTATAAAATTGGTCTTGTTCTCTCCATTAATTATGAACAAGTTTTAGAAATGGCTAGTTTTATTCTTTTGCATACGAAAAAAAAATGTATAACGTATATGATTTTGTAAGTATGGTTATATATAGATACTTAGTACTCTTAGGAAACACTGATATTTTCATGCTTCTTCTAAGCATTCTGATTATGCTTTAAGATTATTATTATTATTACTTTTTATCTAGTTGGTTTGGATGCTGCAGGAAAGACAACAATTTTGTATCAACTAAAGTTAGGAGAAGTGGTGACAACTATACCTACTATTGGTATGTATATATTTGCTTGATTAATATTTTATGTCAGGACTTCTGAAAACAAAATTCATAGGTCATTTTGTACTCATAAAATATAAATAATTGTGCATGTATCATTATCCTCCTTATACTGCCATCTGGGTCCATTGGGCCCAAAGCTCAGCATAGTCAAGGTGTTATGCAAGCATTATATTGTACAGAAGTCTGAAATTCAATGAATTTTTATGATCTTACTGACCTTGCCAACATGCTGGAATTTTATAGTTCTAGAACTATTCAAATTTTAATAAAAGTCAAAGTAACACCATATACTTTATGGGTCCAATGGATTCAAAAACTTGTAGAAATAAGATAAAAGTTATAATAAGTTTTCAGTTACATATTTGTGCTGTATATCTGTTTGCATTACTTATAAGTATTATAAATTTATTTTATACTACTTACGTTTATCATTACTTGTATATACATACTACTGTTTATAAGTTTATTAAAATTATGTGAAGTATGTGATTTATTGCATCATCTTCTGTTTCTCAACCTTTAAAAAGGTGGGGCTGGTCTCCTTTTCTGAGCATTCTAGCTGAAAATGCAGTTGCATACACTTGTACCTTGTCATCTCTGAACAGCTTTTGCAAAATATATTTAGGGTTAAAGAAGAGGACTTTCCCTAAAATGTTGCAGAGATTTAATGCAACTAAACAAAACAGTTATTTTTAGAGCAAGAGAATAATGAAAACTATGAATAACAAGAAACAGGTGATAATATGTCTGCCTACGATAGTCAAGTGGACAGTATAAGATATTTCTCAATTTAACATGTGAGATACTGATGAAGATATTGAAATGAACAACAGTGGTCGTGCAGAAAATATAAAATAAAAACCAGAGTAATATGCAATAGTGAGATATACCATGTTTGGAAAATGCAGCCGATTACAGGAAAAAATCATATGCGCAGAAGGGAGTTAGTCAAGGAGAGAGAGAGAGATTTGTTATGGACATGGTCAGAGAAATCTCCACCTGAGTTTACAAATCAGAAAAGAAGAACACTTGCAACTACTACTTTTGAATTCCAAGCTTACTCAATGATATCATTACATTGTCCCAAAAAAGGTAACATTGTAACTCTCCTAAGTACAATGCACTCTCAACCAACAATTGTTGACAATTCAGAGAAATATAAAACAAGGCCATTTTGTTTTACAACAACAACAAAGGTAGCATAGACACACTTGACATGGTGCAATGCTACAGTTACAAAAGAATGGTCCAAGGAGGGCCTGTGTTTATCTTCTATAAAATAAATGATATTAGTGCAGTAAATGCTTTTGTAATATTGTGGAACTTGAACTCTCAATATCTTTAAGAAAAGTGCACTAACCCTAGCATTTTCTTATTCAACTTGGGAAAGAGCTTGCTGAATTAGAACTTTAACAAGACAATCCAAAAAATCCCATTTAACTTCAGAAACTGAAGATGAAACAGTCAAGAAAATAGACAGTGCTCAGTTTGTGGATATACAAAAAAGATGGTTTGTAATGAATATTCATAAGTAATATGCAGATGATCTAAATGAACTTCATAAAAACTACTGTAACATGTTTCTGTGTGTTATGCTTTATAAAAATAAAAATTAGGGAATGTATGGTTATTTTAAAAATTCACTTTAATTCCATTTTCATTGAAACATATACATTACCATTGTCCCATAATAATAAGTTTTATATCTTTTAAACTTTTTAAAAAAGTGGTGAATAACTATAAAGAACAATTTATTTGTAATGCTGATGGTGTTGAAGAAACTGAAGAAGAGAAACATTGGAAGACAAAATGGCATTTTTCAGTTTATAATCAGAAACATTTTAAGGAAATATGACTGATCAGTTTTTATTTTAGGATTTTTTAAAAAGTGGATCTTAGCAACTCCACATAACCTTGAGTTTGGGCCATTTTCAAATTTAAGTTGCTGAAACACGTGACAAAGGTACAAGCCATATATAGTAGGGGAATTTTTTCCTCCTAAAAATCTGTCTTAAGTTTATATAAAAGTATGCATTTATGTATAGCACGGACTGTTGGCTAAATGAATCATTTTTTGCATAACATTTGGAAGTATTACAAGATGACCAAGAAAAATTATTTCTGGCAAAAAATTTCACATATTTTGTAAATTTTTGCTATACAGAGTATTGAGTACATTATGTTAAAACAATTTTGAAACATTATTATGTTGTTAAAGTCTATGTTGTCATGTTTGGTCATGCTTTATCTGATAACTGTACATTTTGACAATAGTCCTTCAGCAAAGTTTTCTTTGCAAAAAGGTGTCATGTCCAAAGCACACTACTCCTTCCTGGTAACTTTCCATAATTAATCTACTAAAAGAGGACGATAGTTTCCCAGTGCCCATTTTAACAGTCAGATTACACAGAAATCTAGAGACACTGCATTCGGTGACTTGATTGGTGGATATTTGTATAGAATAGCATGAATACCCATTTCATTCTCCATCTGCTTGAGGTATGTAACATTTGAATGAGAGGTATGAGTGGAAGCCTTTTCTTTTGTGAACCCATACCCTGTTGGGCTCATTTCCAGATGGAGATCTTTGATTAGGTACTGTTGCCTGGGCATGTGTATGACTTTTTGCCATTGACCTTTGTGTTTATGGAATCTCACTTATTACAAGACTCTGCACTTTGCTTACCATGGCTGGGTTATGATTTATTGTAGGCTTCTTTCTGAATAGTTCTGGTATCCACAACCTGGTCCATATTCTAATGTTTTCCAGTGGCATTAAGGACTGTTACGTACCCCTTCCAAAAATGACCAACAGCCTAAAAATATAGTTCTGATACATGACATTCCACTGCGACTTAATATTGGTTGTAGTTGTTTGCTGATTTGCATATTCAAAATTGATATAATATACTCAATTCTGTATAACTACATATTTCATAAAAGATATGAAGCTTCAAAAGAATTACTCGCTAATGTGCACAGTAATTTGCAAGAGTTAAATATATTGTTAAAGAGTGAGAAATAAATGTATAGTAGTTGGAAGTTTTGCAAATTTATTTAGAGCTGAATGGTTAGTGAAATGTGCTTATCAATTCAACTAACTGATAATTCTCACATGAAATTAGTCATATTTCCAGCTAATGTTTTTAAGTAATTTTCAAACTACCTTTCGTTTAATATGATAGACATCTTCTGATGGTTGCCTTTTGCATAATTAGCAAAAAAAAATGTTTGGTTAAAAAAATTTAAAAATTTAAGATAGTCTGAATATTTTCTAGTTGTCAAACTGCTAACTTTGAGACAACCACATGTTCACCATCTTGTTTGTTTTTAAATATGTAGTAATCTCATTGATCTTGTGTAGATTAAATAAATTAATATAGAAGTAACAAAAACACGTTTTACAATCAATGTTACTGATGATAATGTCATTATTTCAATCGCAATTAGAAATAAGTAAGTAGCAAATTTATTTTTGTTTGTTATTTAAATAGGATAAACATAAAAATAGTATTCAATAAATAGGGATTTGAGTCATCAGAATATTTTGCTATCATCTAGTATACTAACTAACCTTACTAAACTTCAGTGATGCCTTCTCTTCAAAGAAACTTTAGCATGTAAACATTTTTGCCAATGAAAAGAACATATAAAGAACCAATAAAATTCCCAACTCTGTTGCTTATTTCTAAGTCTTCAAAACTTCCCATTAAATGCCTTTGGTTATTGCTACAGGAGCTGTGAATAGAAACCTACCTTATTTACTTTACTATGACATGAATATGTCTAATTCCTGCTCTGTCCAATCATACATAAACTTTTTTTTTTATAGTTATTTCCAAAGTGTGTTTCATTAGTAAGTTATCAAATCACTTGACATTATAAAAGGTAAGCAACAAAGGCCTGTTCAAAAACTAAGCAGAAAAGAACAAGGAAACCACTTGAAAATAAACCAGTAGATTATATATTTTGAAGGAGTGATATCTTAGCGAAAAAAGCTATTAATTGGGATGGGCAGAGAAATTCTAAAAGAATCAACATTTGTGTTGTTTATAGGGGAAATTCATTGGAGCTGTGTAGACATGAAGATTTGAATTTATTTATTTTTTCATGAATTATATTGAAATAAGTGTTAGAAAATATTTTTGAGTTAAAATTGTTGAAATAGAGCTAGAATTAACATATGAAATTGACATAAAAATGTATAGCAAAAAAAAAGATATGAAAAGCTAGAGGAAACCGTATTTTCAGGCATGATAATTTAAGATTAAATTACTTTGTTAACCCTCTGGATATGGGAAGTAAAAGTTCACATTGTTATTTTTTTACAGAGTTACATTCAATGTTTAATTAAATTGCTTTGTTAACAATGTACGTCGATAAACTTTGCATCAAAGTGTAGTTAATGAGTCATTTAATATTATATATATTTTTACTTTCTCAGTTTCAAAAGGAAATATTTAACAAAATTCTCAATCTTCACTTTTCACATGACACTTGTTTGCTTTGGTTGCACATCTTATCTCATTTTTCCACCTATATTTGAGCATCTCAGTTTCAGTGAAAATCATAAACTTCTATTATAAATATTACTAATACATAATCTAACTTTATCGCCTCCAATTATCTTGTTTGTTTTAGATATAAAACCATACAGCTCAACCATTACATTTCATACTGTCTTTCAAAAAATGCCAGTAGTTCTCTCTGACATTTTACTATTACATTATTTATAACTAATAGAAAGAGAAGGTCTTAATTTTCTAAGTTACATATAATTCTAACTCATTTTCACAAAACCTTTTGAATTATTTGGCCAAGTGATTCAGTTGCTATTGCCAAGTTCAGCTAAGTGAATCAGTTGAATGCAATCATAGCTTAGGAAGAAAGCCATTTCAATTATAATAATCATGCTTTGTGCGAGTTATTTTTTCTGTTTCATAATAATAATAATAATCAGAAACACCACAATTGATTACATGATTATTTTCATGACATTAATTTATGCTTATAGGTAATTGATTAATCAAGTTAATCACTCAACTCTAGACTTGTTTTGTAAATTAATATAGGTAAACTTGCAAAAAAATATGTTTAATAGAACTAAGAATAATCTCATTTATATAGGCTTTAATGTGGAAACAGTGGAATACAACAACATATGTTTTACTGTCTGGGATGTTGGTGGACAGGACAAGATCAGACCTTTATGGAGGCACTACTTTCAAAACACACAAGTGAGGATGTATTCATTGTATGAAATTCTAGTTGTTGGAGACTGGTACCTTGATTAGCATTTTAAACATAAAACATTACATAGTTTGCTTCTGTTTATGTTCAATACATTGGATTATCACGTTTACTCAATTGTGTGGTGAAATCTATACAAGAGTGAAATTATCTTGAAAAAACAGAACCTTTTTTCATCAAATACAAATTTATGTAATGCTTATAATGTTTGTTAAAGTAAGATACTTAATTAAAAGGTGTACGGGAAACAGCAAAACCTCAGCTCCCATAATTCATTATACACGTAAGAGTTTGTGATTAATTTAAAAAAATTATTTCTGAACAATTTTCAGAATTTAGTATATCTATATGAATCTATAGATATATGAAGATAATTTTGTCACAAATTCCTTTCTATAAGTAGTCACAACAGCAAATCTATATAAGAGTGAAATTATCTTGAAAAAACAGAACCTTTTTTCATCAAATACAAATTTATGTAATGCTTATAATGTTTGTTAAAGTAAGATACTTAATTAAAAGGTGTACGGGAAACAGCAAAACCTCAGCTCCCATAATTCATTATACACGTAAGAGTTTGTGATTAATTTAAAAAAATTATTTCTGAACAATTTTCAGAATTTAGTATATCTATATGAATCTATAGATATATGAAGATAATTTTGTCACAAATTCCTTTCTATAAGTAGTCACAACAGCATATAAATAAATGTTTGATTAGTCACAATAGTATATAAATAAATGTTTGATTAGTCACAACAGTATAAAAATAAATGTTTGATTAGTCACAACAGTATATAAATAAATGTTTGATTAGTCACAACAGTATATAAATAAATGTTTGATTAGTCACAACAGTATATAAATAAATGTTTGATTAGTCACAACAGTATATAAATAAATGTTTGATTAGTCACAACAGTATATAAATAAATGTTTGATTAGTCACAACAGTATGTAAATAAATGTTTGATTAGTCACAATAGTATGTAAATAAATGTTTGATTGACAAGCACTGTTACTCTTAATTTTGAAAACCCTGTTACCATTAAAAGAATTTAAGAATCGTTGTTACAGAGGGAAGTGGTATTTAATTATGTTTAATTAATTTGTTTTGTTATTATTCATAGTTTAAACATACATATCTATAAAATATTCTTTTTTTTTACTTTTTGTTAGACCCTTGAGATTCATTCCCTATGAAGATATTTCTGCATAAGGATATGAGACTAATCTTAAAAAAGAAAATTAAAGTTCATTGTTGTTATAAAAAGAAAGACAAGGGCAGCAAAAGGCAGTATGCCTTAGTTATATGGTTGTAGTGATGGCTTTATTATAAATTTGTATTTGGATAGCAAAGTTGGATAACTTTTCAAACTAGATTTCATTATATACAAAAATATTAGTAAAAGTATCTGTTTTGTTATGTTGAAATATACGTAGTTTACTATGGAGAACTTTGAAATTACTATTTGTAGATCTAAAATAACTTAGTCTGGAAATAATAAAATAGAAACAAATATTTTTTAGAAAGCAAAATAATTCTGTATTTTGTATGAATTTCCACATGAATCGTTTCAGTCATGTTAAATATTCTCTTTAGCCTACCAATAAGAATATTTCAAAGAGAAATATGGGAAATAATATTAAATGAATTGATTCTTTTTTTAAATCAAGAACATTACGTATCAAATGTTTTGATAATTATAGTATTACACATGCCATGCAATTTGGTCCTCAATGTAATTAATTGGTTATTAATTGATCTTGCTAGTACATGGAGTGGAAGAGAAGAGGAAATACTCAAAATCTCAGCAACAAACTTAAAGATTTAACTTTATCTAGGATTTAATTTTTGTAAAAACTTTTCAAATGAAGTACAAAGAGAGTAGAGGCATGATGACCAGTGATATTTATATAGAGTAGATGTGGAATTGTGACAATAGAATAATGTAGGTAGTTGATCTTCTCGTTCAATCAATCTTCTATTTTTCCCATTTAACTGCAGAATAAGCTCTTAGTCGTATGACTTACAAGAAGTTACCACAAGATTCTAATCATCGGGATTACTCATGATAGATGTAGTTTAGTATTGGGAGAACTTGGATTTGTATGTACTCCCAGATATTCATCAGATGCCAATGCAATTTTATCTTTAGTTTGACAATTAACACTCAGAATTAAATGCATTGGGTTTCCTTTTAAAGTTTACGTTTTCGGAATATGAGGAATAACATTTTGACTTAACAATGTAGGGAAATGTTTTTTTCAGGAGGTGGGATACTTAAAAAACTAATGTTGTAGTTTCGTAAACAAAACAAAATGATTGTGAGTTACTAAGTTGACTTCATCTACCTCAGAGGCTGTTAATTAATTTTTTGTTGGTTACTATATATAACTGGCAGTAATAGTTTAATAGCCTAATATTAAACATATAATAGTTTCAACATTTTAGTTTCTTAATCATCGTGTGTTGTGAATTGGGCAGCTGAGTTATTTGGAGAGACTGATCAGATGTGGAAAAATTTTAAATATTCAAGGTAAACATATTCCTTATAGAAAGAAAAGGCAAGCTGCAAGTAAAATACCAGGGTGGCTCACAAAGAGTATAAAAGATAAAATTAAAGAAAAACATCATAAATTTAAGACATTTAAATTGACCAGTATGACAGGAGATTTAGAAGATTATAGAAGATCAAGAAAGTTGGTGAAATAGTAAGTTAGGACATCAAAAATGGTGTTTGAGAAAAGGTTGGCTGAAAATTTAAAAATTAACAGTAAGAGTAATTACACAAAATGTTAGGATGTGGGTAGGACCTTTGAGGGATGATAAAGGAAGGCTTGTATCTGATGAATATGAGATGGATGGGTTATTGTATGTGTATAAAAACTCTTAAACTGTAATCATAATGTAAAGCAACATTCAGAAATTAACAGTAATGTATATATATCATTAACTTTAACACAGAAAAAAGCTCCTGCAGATATGTTCTTCAAAACAACTTGTGAACAGTTTAATTATTACTCTTGACTCAAACTTTAACACAGCCAACCTAGTTCCCAGGACACAAGCCTTCAGATTGATTACTGTTATCAATTAAGTCATTTGTGTCATATATAACCTTACTACAGAGATGTTAGTTTTATGTCGCAAGAAGTTTTGTAAATTATTTTGTTGTTGTATTAGGAGAAAATGTAATTCGAGAGATCATCATGACTAGATCTGATCATTGTATGTTTAATCTTTTTAGTGATCTTATTTATTACAAGTAAATATACTTTTTAATATTTTTGCATTTTCAGATTTTGTGTATATGATAGGTACTTACCTTTTTTATGTGTTGATTATTAGTTATGAACATTTCTTATTTACGTAATAAACTAATTCAAATGAAACTGGGGAAGAAATGACAATATTAAATAAGAAAAGTTTAAATGTTTTTTCACATGATTTGTAAATTTTGTTACTGTAATAATAACCTTTATTTGCATGTTTTCTTCTTGTAGGGTTTGATATTTGTAGTGGACAGTAATGACAGGGAAAGGATATCCGAAGCACAGGATGAACTACAAAAAATGGTATTTATTGTTTTTATCACAAATAGTGTTAAATCAATTTAACATTTTGAACTGTTTGAACTCATGGTTCAAAAGCAAAAAAAAGTTTTGTTGTAAATTGTATTAGAGATCATGTATCCTGCTCACTTTGAAGTTCTGTTAAATTAAAACTTTTCTGCATAATATTTTGAAAAATATGATTGGAAATAATTTACATTCACAGTATGCCCCTTTCTTCCTCTCTATAATTTTTGAAGTAGGCATTTTTCTGTACATGGCTTGTACATTTTAATCAACTTAGCAACCACCATGAAATTATACACACAATAACTTTCAATGTAGTAAGTGTATTTTCACAAAATTTGGTAAGCTTATAATAAACATTACAAGTCTTCTGTACATAAAAACAGGTTGTTTTGATTAAATATTTTTATCGAAGATTTACCTATAAATTTATGGAGTCAGGGTCTGATTCAGACTTGACTAGTCTGCATGCAAGGTGATTTTCATATTAAGACAAAAAATACTTTTATTTCATTTTACAACTTTCAACTTTAATTTGCATAACCTCTAAAATCTCCTAAATCAAAAGTTTTTTCAATAAAACCTTTTATTTTAGCTATTATTTTTTCTATCCTAACACTGTATAAAGGCTCAGCCCATTTTACCAACTCTGTAACCATTGCCCCATAGTGGCTCATGGTCTGCAGGTTTATGATGATAATATTTGAGTTTCGATACCCATGGTGAGCAGGCACAGATATATTATTGTATAGCTTTGTGCTTAACAACAATCAATCAATCAAACCTTGTATCCACTGCAAGAAAGAATATGAAATAAATATAAATTACCCTTTTTTCTCTCTAGAATGATTGCATATTGTTACAAATAATAACACACACTTTATTCATGCATCCAAATCTAATACAATTCAACCCTTCTGCTTATTTTGATTTATTGCTTTACTGCCATTCAGGTTAGAGCCAAAGCAATTTACCACAGTGTGAAAGTAACACAATGTCCAGTTACCAGCTCATTGTCAAATTATAACATGTCATTGTGTACTTTTTTATTTAATTTTTCTTATATAACCTAACAAGTTTCAAATTTTAACATTTTAATTAATTTTATAATGATGAAAATATTATTTTAGCAGTTGTGTGTGTGGTTTTTTGTACTTTTTTTTTCAAAATCTTGAAGTTTCAAAGAAAATTAACTTTTTTTTGTAGTGCATTGTTTTTTACATAATCTTGAATATTTTTTTAAATATGCAATTTGGACCACAAAACATTAACATGTAACAAAAAAAGCAATCTCCTAAAGCTATTATAATTTAACTGGCTTTGTAACTAAGCTATATGTCATTAAAATAAAATATTTTCCTTACCCAGTTGAAGCCATCTGGGCAATAGCCAACTTATTAGATTGATGTAGAATAATCAAACTGATGATGAGATTGAGCTAACCTCGTAAGGAAAGCAGTAAATTAAAATATTTTTTTTCATTTGGTTATATATAATCCATTAGCAAATGTTGGAGAGAATTATTCAATTTTTTTAAATATGCTGTGTGCTAGGAATGAGAATTTCCGTTTATGATACATAACACACTAAAGCTAGAAGAATAGATGCTATAAATATTTATTTAAACTCAGTGATATACAAGTCCCGTGAAACTTAGAGAATAATACTGGGGTGGAAAGAAATTTTAAAAATGGAAAATTTGGAGCAAAGAAGTGTCATGCGATGCGTAAAAGCGAGTATTGAAAATTTATTGAAATATTTCCTTTTGAAATTGAAACCTATATAGAATTAAAATCTGAACTATAAACTATATTTTTTATGCTGAATTTAGTGACATACATTGATAATAAAATAGTATAATTGAACTTTGAATATAACTTTAAAAAAAGTTCTGACATGTTCAATTTCATCTACACATATCTAGAGGATTAGTTGCAAGAATTTTGACAATGATTGTTTGAGAAAATCTGTTATAAATTCATCCCAATGTAGCTAAACCAGCAGGTGATACAATTCTACTAATGCATATTTTATTATTTCATTCTTAAGCTAAGTGAGGAGGAACTCAGAGATGCTGTGTTACTAGTATTTGCTAACAAGCAGGACCTTCCCAATACATTGACAGCATCTGAGTTAACAGAGAAACTGGGTCTAAATTCACTTCGAAACAGAAGGGTAAGCTCATTTTAATAGTAATAATTGATATTATTATCTCTTAAATGTATTGAAATTGAAAAGTAAGGTGTAGCAGTCCAATTGGAAAAATTTACAACTAACCATATAAAACAAAAACTTTAGTAAAAACCATTGTTGCTAGTTTTATTCCCAAGAAAGTCAATATTGCATTATGTTATAGATGATATTGGGTTTCTTCATTCAGTACTAGTTATTGTGCTTTAAATCCAGAGAACTATCAGTTCTTCATTGATCTACATGTATTAATGCACATGTGTTACTTTGCACAACAAGAATAGCATTATCTACCTGTAAGAGTTCATGCTTCCTTTTTTTGGAACACATATAGACACGTCTTTATATTAAAATCATGAATTGGTCTTTTTGAAATGTACAGTCTATTAAACTGCAGAAAAGTACTTGTAAATGATAAGATTCTAGAAAGTTTACAATAGGCTTGCAACATAATTATGTTAAACAATACACCTACATTTAGAAACTGTTGGAAAATAATTATTTAAGAAATATCAGGAACTTGTAAATCATTACGTGCAGTAACTAACAATTGTATAATCCTGTATGACCGTCAGAGCTTTTCTAATTAAGATGACATATAACCTCATTTGTTTACTGTGAGCCTGCTAAGAATATTTCAGCATGTATAGCGTTTTTGAATATAAAACATTAACAGCAACAACATTACAATTTTGATGTATAGCATTTTTAAATATGAAACATTGACAGCAGCAACATTGCAATTTTGATGTATAGCATTTTTAAATATAAAACATTAACAGCAGCAACTTTGGAATTTTGATGTAAAAACGCTATTTTAAAAATGCTATACATCAAAATTGTAATGTTGCTGCTGTTAATGTTTTATATTTCTGTTAATGTTTTATATGCAACATTACAATTTTGATGTGTAGTGTTTTTAAAAATAAAACATTAACAGCAGCAACATTAAAAGTTTGGGCGTATTTTTTGATTAACCCAACTTTTAAATTACAATTAAATGTAAAAACGATTGTTGTTCTCTGACAGTGGTACATTCAGTCAACATGTGCTACCCAAGGCCGAGGATTAAAGGAAGGATTGGACTGGCTTTCCAATGAGCTTGCAAAATACAACTGAGTCTTTCTTCTAATATGTGCAAGAACTATGTATATTGATTGTACAAGTCCTTCTCAGTCCCCAGCTACACAGTTAATTAGTGGTTCCTCACATGGCCAGCATTGGTAGTGGACATTGCAGTTGCACTCACTTGACATATGAGGTAGTCATCCAGGGTGGAGGCTGAGAAGAACTAGTGTGGGTCCAATCTGATTGATCAAATGATGTGACAGCACTGTCGAAACTGAAATTTTTTTGGTTCTGTTATCTAGAAATAAATTTGCACCAATCTTGGACCTTATTTTTTTTCCTGTGTTACTGTTCAGTTGTAGAACTGGGTATGTTTGTTTTCCATACACTCATTGTTATGCCACATTGATTGTTAAATGTTACATCTGCCTTTTCTTAGTTTGTTGTAAGTTAATATAAGAAAATAACTGTAGTGCTGATCTTTTTTCTTTTTGAAATTATCGATTTTCAGAGTTGGAGCAATTTTTTTTATTAATAAACTCATAACAATTAATTTAGATCTTGATAATCAGATTGGCAACTGTTCACATAAATGTGAATGGGCTTTATGATTTTTTTTTTCTAGGTTCGTAACTCCAAGACTTTCACTTGGAACTATTTAGTTTAAGATGGTAATATTGTTAACTCTAGACTTTCATTTTGCTATTCTAAATCTTGAAACTGTATTGTTTGACATTTAAAAAATAATTGAAGTACTTTATTTTTGTTGAAACACCAATATCTTTGTGTGTCTTTCGCTCAACACTGAATAATAACTGAAATTTGATGCCATCAACTATATAAATATATAACATTTAAAGTTCAATATTTGTACTTGGTTGAGAGTGCATTTAGACTAGCATCTCTTCATAACTTTTATAAGATTTTTAGGCAATGTGAAATATCTAAAGTTAGCAGAAATGTTCAGTAGCTACAAGCTGAACAATGCTTAGCAAGGGCTTGCAGTTAAGTTCTGGACAGTAATGCTAATACTCTGTGTAGTATGTGTAACTATTTTAAACACTTCGTGATTAAAGAAAAAAACATAATAGATACATGAAAGAGGCTGCTTTTCCTGTTGGTGCTTTATTTTTGAGATGTCTATATGAAATTGAAGGTGATTGATACTGCAAACTAAAAAGTTTCTGTTGTTCCATTCTGAATAGCTTGGAGAAATGGAACTGAACTTGGGTATGATGATATTTTACAGACCATAAAAGTTCTAGCTATTTTGTATATCCAGTTACTGTTTTTGTCAATATTCTGAAGGACTGGAGGTATTTAAAATTTACCTCTATGTATTGGGTCAATTGTCATTTAACTTATCTCAAAAGGTATTGAAACTCTACATTGTCCTTAAAGTAAAAAAGAACTGTTAATATATTCTGAGTGGCTTAGAATTAAAGAAGGTTTAAAGAACTTAATGAAAAGAATTGAAACCAAGATTATTTGATAGGCACAACAGGGTCACTAGTTGTTTCAGTAAAGTAATAGTGATTTAATACTTCCTTAAAAATACAAAGTGCTCCATTTTATTCATATATAATTATTCAAGATATCAATAAATGTAATGTTTAAAGTATACCTTCTTCTGTGAACGCTTTTTTTCACACTCTGGGTTAATTTGAAATGTTGTATTTCACTTTTCATTGTATAATGTAATAAATGGCATCCATGTAATTTAATATGTGATTATTTGTGTTTTGTATAACTTCAGAACATAGTTCTAGAAAATGCTACATAGCAGAAAATAAATAACATTAGGTATATCATTAAGATATAATTATGGTTGATTTATTGATGTGTAAAATGGTAAACTGAAATTAGATACGCATTGCATAGAGATTTTAGTCTTAATAGAATTTTTTTAATGCGTTAAATAACATTTCTATTTAACCAAATGCAAAGAACTAGAGTGAGGGAAAAAGTTACTGCTTGTTGATTGGGAAGAATTGAAAATAGAATACATATTCAGTAACATATTACATAAATTACACAATTAAAAGTCCAAATCACCAAAGTGGTAAAGCATGAAAAAATGTTTATTTTAAATAGACATCCAGGGTTTGTATGGGTTTATGAAAGTCTTTTTAAATTGCAGAAGCAATTTCCAGGGCCTGGAAAGTTTTGGGAAAATAAGAATTTACCCCAGGGTTTCAGAAAAGTCATGTAAAATGAAAATTTTCTTTGTCAGTATTATAAACCAGTGTTTATTTGATGGTTACATTGTATAATATCCGATGGTGAGAATCTTCTGCACGAGCCCTTTGTGTTTTCCCTTAGTGACAAGCATGAATAGCAACTTCAATTGTTTCATCACATAAGGTTGAGGGAAGCTGTCGACATCCAAGTCTTGCCATCAAGCAATTATGTAATTGTGATTCATCATTATTTTTATGTTCTGTGGTATTGATTTGAACTGCCCAGGGACCTGGGTGAATGAAACCTGGTTATGCTGTAAAGACTGGAAAGCATCTTTAGGCTATATCTTCATTTAATGATAAAGAACCATAGTTTTTGGCTTTTCTTTACATATAGATGCGTGATACATTAAAAACAACTGAAATAATAATTTGAGTAATAATTAATATGTATTTCTTACTTTATACATTTAATAGATATTTGTTGTTACCGTATTAACGCTTATAGCTGCTGCTATGATTTTGTCTGGTTTGTGAGGTCGTTGCTGTCCTAATTTAGGATCTTTTTAATAAATTCTGGAAAATGTTAAAAAAGAAAATATTTTCATGTAACATTAATCTATTAAAGAAAAAAAAAGATGGTTTTGAAAACCTTCTTTTAGAAAATCCAATAGTTTTTAATAAGTATATTTCAAAAATTAATGTTAGGTACATGTGAGCTAGATAACACCTGTGATACATTACTTAAAAAGGTTAAGGAAAAGCTTTACACCATTACATCACAATCTCTGAAAACAGAAAATATTTCATATCCTATCGGTTGGAAGACTAGCTTTAGCATAATTAGCTTTATCAGTACATTTTTGACAGAAAATATGATTATTAAAAAAAGCTATTGAAAATAAATTCTTAATTCTCACTGACGTATAGAGTGAACGTTTTGTTGTAGAGGAGATATACTTGAATACAAAACAAATTTATGTAAAAATGTGTAATAAGAAAATTTAACAAGTGTTTGGACTCAACTGAGTCAGATTGGCACACAATTCGCACTTCAACTCCCAACATCAACCACTCCCCAGTAACTAAATGAGAATATTTGAAAGTTCCTTGTGTATATATAAACTCTTTAACAAACCTATTACTGATTGATAGGCATTTAAATGCTATGACTATTTTTTAAGCATTTTAGTATTAACTTCTGATCAAAGCAAGCTACCTACGTATATCAGGAATCTGGTGGTATTTTTGAAAGCTATCCTTAGAGAAGAGTAATAAGACTGACAGAGTATTTGGGGTCCATTATATTTTTCTTTTAGGACCTTAATATAGAAGTAATTTTCAAACATCTAGACACTAATGTCCATGCTAGATTTATCAATTTATGCAGCTTTTATTTTTATCAATAATTTGTATTGTTTGTTTCTGCAACTTATTTCAAAAAAATCTCAATGTTGTTTCAGAATTATCTGCTTTCTGTGATGCAATATGTTAAGAATGGAAGCTTGAGTGACATGCATTTATTTATTTATAAATTCTCTTTTTATTGCATTTACACATTTGGAAATTCAGAAATCAACAGTAATGAACATTACACATACTTGCTAATTTACTTGATAAATTAAGGACAGGTTTCTGGAAGAACTTTTAGTTCAAATAGTTTTGCAACAGACTTAAATTTTCAACAGGCTCATACTTCTGCTTGTTTTTTAAGTTCTGACAGCATGGTTGTAAATAAGGAGGGGGAGCTCTTGTACTTGCTAGTTTCGTACTGGTCACTACAGAATGAACTGTAATTGACTGATATGTTGTACAAAAACAACATGTCTATAAGCAAGTGTTACTTAGCAGCAGAACTTACTCTTTTTTTTTTTAGTTCAATTGATCTGTACTGAGCAATTCTACTCCAGTTGTCATTTCGTATGATCATTTTCAGTCTGAACTTCATTAGCCAATGGGAAAGCAAGTGATGTACTTAAGGCCAAGCAGTCACTGTTTAATACAAAACTTGGGATACCATGAAGATTTATGCAACATGCATAAAAGTTAAGTCATTTAAACAAATCGGTAATTATTATCCTTCATTTACCTAAAATAAAAACTATGGGCAATCATAAGCACTCTACATCATAATTTGAAATATTCATGGAACCTAAACAGCATTATAAATGTAGTTGTATTAATCTATTTGCTTATTTCAGTTGAGACCACCAAAACATACATATTTAATTTCTATATAGTCATCAATTCCATAATGAGACCCTTCACGTCCTAGACCTGACTCTTTCACTCCACCAAATGGTGCTTCTGGTGCACTAATAAGACCTTCGTTGACTCCAACAAGCCCAACTTCTAACTGCTGTGCTACGCGCCAGATCTGAGAAATATCCTCAGAATAAAAATATCCTGTAAAAAATGAATTAACGTGGAGTTTGAAGGAGAAAATACTCAATACAATGAAAGTCAAATTAAATTCAGTGAGTCCACCAAAATATCAAGTAATAATATGACAGTTATATTACTAAAACTAAAAAAAAATACAATATAAATAAGGTTACAAATAATA